TGTTTTTGTTCAAAAAAAAGCCAGTTCCGCCAAAATTAATTGATATGACACTGTGCGGCACTATAGCACTGTTGGAGATTAAAATTTCTGCTGCCATTTTAGAAAATGAATTTAAATAAATAATTGCTTTGTAGATATTGCAGCAATACAGTAAACACAATATATATTCAAAACCACCATCAGACAGCAATACATAAATGGTTGCGTCATTGGCTAACGATAAGGGGATTGGCTAACACTCTCACACCTGTCACACGCGAAGCGAATCGTTATTTCGTCCGGAATAATTAAATTAATTGATATAATGTCCGCTATAATTAAATTAATTTTTTAAAAATTTTGCACTGCGGAAAAAGGTAGGGTCAAAACTACCAGAATATAGTAAAATTTACTGAGTTTCTGACTCTATGGGAACACCAAAAACATCGGTAATTTTCACCGAAGAACTTTGGTAATGATTATGGTACAATCAACAATGAAATATGGTTTTATAATTAGTGATAAAATTTGATGATTTTATTATTATTCCTTAGAGCATTGCATAAGAGCCATTACCATTACCATTATTTGGTTACATTTTATTTTCTAGTTATGTATTTTTTTAATCAAATATGTAGTAATATGAACTATGATTTTGAAAGCCAGAATTTTTGGTAAATCGTTGCAATATGAATGGAAAAATTACCAAATGAATGGTTTATATACCTCATATTTTGGTTTTATTAATTAGAAAATCAAAATTATATATTTTATGTTTTTTTTTCTTCCTTTTACCAGAATTGTCATTACTAAACTGTTTGATAATTTTACCAAAATGTTTTTATATAAGAGCGAAAGAATAATATTATCACTTCCATGATTACTGTTAATAGAACTGTTAATTATTTGCAATAAATGTTTACTTCGTCATGTAATATTAGGTTACAAAAATATAAAAATGTTTTACTTATTGGATCTTGCTTAATTTTACTTAATTTTTTGCTTAATATTATTTAATATACAGAAAGCCGATTTTAGGAAGTTTCAACCTTCAATCAAACCTGTTTCGATGTTTATTGCATCCACCTTTCTTTACTGTAATTTCTCAGTTTTCGATAGCGTAATGTTTTTTCTGTGATAAAATGCTAATTTACGATCCCCTATAAGCAGACCTCTTTGTTTTCGTTCATGATAAAAATGCTGAAAACGTATAAAGCCAGTATTTTAAGAATAAGTACGGAACACCCTGTATTTTTTCTTAAATTTTGATACCAGAAATTTAAAAAACAAAACATATTTAATTTTTATTTTTCGAAATTTTAAATTTTTTTTGATGCCAGCAGTAAAAAATTATTTATGAAATTTAAGGAATGAATAATTTATTCAATATAAATAAAAAAAAAGTAATATTGCAGCATATTATTTTCAATAGCATTAAGAATTAAAAATATCGATTTTTTTATTTATGAATGTTAATAATTGCTCTTTTTCTGTTTAAATATGCATACATTTATTTTATTTTAATTTAAAAACTTGTAATGAAAAATAGAATGAAATTAAAGTGTATTTATTACTTATATTTTAAAGAATATCTTGAGATTTTCTTTATTAAACATACGGGTGTGAAAGTATTAAAAAACATAAAAAAGCGAAAAAACAATAATATCGACAAAACTGACAACTTGAAAAGATGCGACATGGTATTTTCACATTTTCTTCTAATCCAGTCCCATCAAAAACTACCAATCACGGATCATCAAGATGGTAAAAAGAAGGAAAAAAAATCTTAATTTCATCCATTCCCGGGTCTTTATAAATTACGTCTCATTAGTTTTCTTAACATCTTGGCCTTTTCGATGTCTTAATGGTTATATCTTGGCGTGAAATATAGCCGCCAAATAGCTTTTTTTTTTATAGAAAACTATACCCCCAGGAGTGGAAAAAGATATATAAACCTTTAACCCCAAAACATGTTTCTTGTCCATGCTTCAATTGGTTACCAAATGAAGGTGAAGCATTTAATACTTTTTTTTTCATACTTGTTTAAAAATGAAAAGAATAAAAAATCACCAAAAAAAAAATCTATACTGTTTATAATAAAGTCGTAAAATAATCGTAACCTTAACTTTAGTGAGGCGATTGCGGCAATAAACGTAACAGACGACAGGCAGTAAAAAATAAATAGTCGAAGCACTTAAAAAATATATTTAACCGAAATAAAGTAGAAAAAAAATCGTTTGCAGCTTTCCACTGTATCCAGATTGGTTCATTTGGCGAAAGGGACTTTACTGGTCATTAAATACTAGGAGGTTTTAAAAATTGAGTTTCCTAAATATGATGGGGGTACAGACTATTAAAGGGACAAGCTTTTTACTTTTTAACATGCCTCCCAAGAACGTTTGATACTTCTTTTTTTTTCAGACGAGAGAAAAAAGAATTTTTTATGAGAATTCCAGGCAGAAACTTAATTTGTTTCCGAAATGGCTCCTTTCGTGCAATTGGATGAAAATAATTTTTCTCAACAGGCTTCGAAAATATCGTCTGCTGGTGATATCTAATAGGTTGGAAATTGGAACGTTTTTTCCAAAATTAAAACCTGCCACTAACGAAGCCTTATTTATTCACTCATTAAGCTGTGAGCGAATCAGTGGATGGCAATTTATTTTGACGTCACGTTGTCTTGATTGGGGAAAATTAGAATAAATTAAACGTTATGGGAGGACATTCGACGGGGCATTTTTTTTTTGTGGGGTACTTACTTTTTTCTCTAGTTCGCTTAAGGCAAAACCTGTCACAAGTCATTTAGTTATTGTTCATTTAAAGTATGAAATTATGATAATGAACTAACGCTGGTGTGATATTTCAGAGTTTCAATTAGAAATTCCTATTAAATATTTGCATAAATTTTAAACACCATTCGATTTTTAATATACCTTGAAAATAAGCAATTAGAAGATTTAATTAAATTTTTAGAAAATACGACAGATTATAATTAAGGTGAGTATTCAATAATCAACAAACTGCCGACAGATTAGAAAAAAAATTGTGAAATCATTTATGATTAAAAGTGTAAAAAAAAACTACTTACTAAAATTTATACTTAACTTTATTTTTCATGGAATAAAAAAAGTTTTTTAAGCACTATCGTGATTAGTTTCTATACTTTAAGACGCTTAGAGCAAAATTTTGAATTTAAAATAATGACAAGCAAGTATTTAGTAATTAAAAATATTTTTTAAAAAATTATGATTAGTTTCTATACTTTAAAACGCTTAGGGCGAAATTTTGAACTTGAAATAATGACAGGCAAGTATTTAGTAGTGAAAAATATTTTTAAAAATATTTTAAAAAATATCTTCAAATTAATTTAAGGGTTTCCAATATTTTTGAGCTACGGAACCCTAAAACTTCAACCTTCTTTCGGTGAAACCCCAACTTTATAAACAAAGTTTAAGTTAATTGTGAACATTATAACTCATAAAAGACTAATTTAAAATATTCAATTAGAGGAACAAAGATTTTTCATCTTTTAATCGTTATTGTTTATCATGTATTATCCCGTTTTTTTCCCATCTTAAATTAGGTTTTATGTTTGACTGCTGAATTTGCAGTCCTTGTGCTATATCTAGTTTAAATATGAATTTTCTCTAGTGTGTGAACATAAACTGAAAAGGAATAAAATCAGCTGAATTATAGTCAAAATGAAAGCTTAAAAGAACTGCTATAAATGTTTAAAATGGTTATCATGGAAACATATTTCTTTATTAAAGAATTTAGTTATTTTGATTTAAAAAGCACGATAGGAAATGAAATATTTCATAAATGCTTGTTTGTTTCTCCATAATTTGTTCTATATATTGTTAGTTAAAATTTTATACTTTACTTCAAAAAAAGGGCATTTCTATTTCATTGGCATTTTACTTGAAATCTTTTCAAAAAGGTCACCATAAGATTAAATAAATTATGAATTATAGGTTGGATCTAAGTGTTATCAGAGAATTCAAAACACATTACTGGTTATAAAAAAGGTGGAAACCCCTTTAACTCTTCTTCAGAACTCTAGGGTTCCACGGAACACTATTGGGGAACCGCTGATTTAATTATTAGATACTTTTATGGAAGAACTTGAACTTACAAGGAAAATACCCCAGAGTATCAAGCTGAAATTCGATATACAAATAGATTTGAATGCTACATGCAGAAAGAGAAACAAATGTTGGTAAAATTACCTTAATGTATGGTAACGACATTTTTGGTAAAAAAAAGAAGAAAGAAACCCATTAATTTTGGTTCATAAAAACCAAAATATGCGTAATTTAAACCATTCATCTGGTCTTAACCGTTCATATAATAACTACGTACAGGAAATTCTGACATTTAAAATTATTGTTCTTATTACCACATATTTAGTAAAAAATACAGAACTGAAAAGTAAATTTAACCGAAAAGATTCTTTACATGCCAGACTCTAAGGTATAATGACAAAATTACCAAATTTTGCCAAATTTAGAAAATCTTATCACATATTATGAAACTATATTTTATAGTTAATTTTACCATAATCATTACCAAAGCTCTTCGGTAAAAATTGCTTAGCATTTTGGTATTCCCATAGAGCCAGGAACATGATACATTTTACCATATTTCGTTAGTTTTGATAATACTTTTTCCTCAGTATAGAAAATAATACAAGAACATAGTTTCACCAATTTCTTACTATAATCATTACAAAGCTTACTTTTAAGTTTTTATAAAGCTACGGCAGTTTGTTTACATAAACGTGTTTGCGACAGCCTTGCTTCTAATGATTTTGCTAAATAACGTTTTTCATCACTAATTATTTTTTGCTGAATTTTTAACAGTTCATATATCATTCAATTTAATATATCATTATGTGGCAAAAAATTTGCATAATGTCATGGTTCAAGATACTGATATTATGATTTAACATTGAATGAATAATTAATAAAAAATAATTGAATGAATAATTTTCATGAAATAATTAAGATATGGTTACTTACATAATGTCTTTGAACGCCGACTCTTTCTGTTTCTCAAAAGATGAAAAAGCAGCAGCATTTTTAGTAGATAAGCTTTGAAAAAAGTCTACTTAATTCCGAAAAACATTCTTTCATTGGAGTCCGATAATGTAGTATTCTGCTTAGTTTTGCGGTCCTATAATAAAAAATGAAAAAAGTTGCATAAAATCATTGGATTATAACAAACTTTCTCTTTTATTAAATTATCTGTGTATGATATATAATAAATTTTATTTAATCATAGATATATCATATTGATATATTAAATCAGCAATTAATCTTAAGTTCTAAAAATTTCAGGAAAATCTATTCATTCAAATTGTTTTTTTAACTTGCGTTTTGACAGCAATCAAATTAAAATCATGCCTCTAAAATTATGAGTTGAAACTCCTATTTTTAGAGGAAGTTTGAAAGATAAGGTCTCATTTTGTCACCATGTGTGCACAACATTTTGTCAAATGGAATGAAATTTCCATAACTTCTCCTCGTGGAAGGTTCATTCTCAAACCAGCGTTTTCTATCTCAAATGGTGCTTCCAATAAGTAAACCGAAATGATCACTCCAATAAAATGGTGTTCTCAATCCTGTCAAATAGAAGGCTGTGTTCAAACATGTCCTCAAAATTAGCTATTCACGATCCAGCCGAAAGAGAGAAGGCTTCCAAACCCTCTTAACAATATTTGCTACTCATTGTCCTGCCAAAAAAAAAAAGATCCTACCGTCTGTTTCCTTAAGCGATTTTGGAAAAGAATATTAAAAAATTATCCAACACAGATTTCAATGAGTCAATGCTATCTCAAATATTTACAAGTTTCTCTTTAATAAAGTTCTACAAATAACTAAATAAAAAATTCCGATGAAATTACTCAATTAAACATATTATTATTCTTATAAGCTGGATATATTTTCGTAAACATGACTCGACTAAACACTGCCAATTCAAATATGGAATTTATGGTCCACCATTCTATCGATTATTCCGGTTTTTGAAGCGAAACCGACAAGGAATGCAAGAGTGTGATCTAATGCAAACTTTAAAGAGCTAATTTAAATCCTAAAAATTTATAAATTATACTCCAATAAAACTTTCCAAGACAATAAAAAATTCTAGTCAAATAATTATAACAAACATATTTTTATTCAGACAAATTGTATTTATTTTCGTAAATATGGCTTTGCTTAACACTGTAAATCCAAATGGCATTAATGTTTCATCCTTCTTTTTAACTATTCCAGCTTGTTCGGCAACACTAGAAACGATTGCAAGAAAATGATCCAATACAAATTTCAATGAGACAGTTTTGATCCCGAAAATTTATGAAATACATTCCATTAAAATTCTTTAAAGAGATAAATTCTTTGTGATTAAATTACTATATAAAGCAAACATATTTTTTTCGCAGACAAACTGTATTTATTTCTGTAAGTATAACTGGGTTTAACTCAGTAAATTCAAATAACATTAATGCTTCCCCACTCTTTTTAATTATTCCAGTTTGTTTGGCAACACTAGAAACGATTGCAAGAAAATGATCCAACACAAATTTCAATGAGATAGTTTTGATCCCGAAAATTTATAAAATACACTCCATTAAAATTCGTTAAAACAATAATTTTTTTGGATTAAATTACTATATAAAGCAAACATATTTTTTTCGCAGACAAACTGTATTTATTTCTGTAAATATAACTGGGTTTAACTCAGTAAATTCAAATGGCATTAATGCTCCACCACTCTTTTTAATTATTCCAGTTTGCTCGGCAACACTAGAAACGATTGTAAGAAAATGATCCAATACAAATTTCAATGAGACAGTTTCGATCCCGAAAATTTATGAAATACATTCCATTAAAATTCTTTAAAGAAATATTTTTTTTTTGATTAAATTACTATATAAAGCAAACATATTCTTTTCGCAGACAAACTGTATTTATTTCTGTAAATTTAACTGGGTTTAACTCAGTAAATTCAAATGGCATTAATGTTTCACCACTTTTTTTAATTATTTCAGTTTGTGAAGCAACACTAGGAAAAGTTTGCAAGAAAATGATCCAATACAAATTTCAGTGAGACAGTTTTGTTCCCGAAAATTCATAAAATGCATTCCAATAAAATTCTTCAAAACAAACTGATCAAGTTAATCAAACAAACATACTAATACTAAAACTGTATTTATTTTCATAAACACGACTAGGCTTAACTCAGTAAATTCAAATGCCATTTATGTTCCACCGTGTTATCGATTATTTCACTTTTGAAGCAACACTGTCAAAAAATGAAGAAGAAAAAAAATGAGATGGAGTAATATTTCTTTATCTCCATACACTGACAACGATAAAAAATAATTCGGAAAAATGTATAATATAAGATCAGGTATTTGGATACGGCTATTGAATATTTTAAAAGCGCCAAGTGGCATCAGTTCGAAATGACAACAAAAAGCACTCAACGAAAATCATTAGTTTTCATAAGAGAGACTTGATTACTCAGAAAACACTTTAATTGGAGGCCCGAAAAACCGATGTCCATTCGCGAACGGTAATTTTTTTTTTTACTTCTGTCACGTGCCCCTCCCCCGAAGAAATAGGAAAGCGAACTTTTTCATTAATTTAGCTTATATTCGTAGAAGGTTCTTTCAAAAATAAAAAGAAGTTTCATTTTCACGTTTTTCTTCATACATTCTCTTATGTTTCCCTAAATTATTTTCTTTTGACACCCACTTCATATTAATTTCAACTCACTCTGTCTCTCGTTTTTTCTTTTTTCTTTTCTTTTTTTTCTTAAAAAAAAATTAATATAAATGCCATCGTCATCTTGAATCGTCCCTTCTGTATGTGAGATTTATAATTGAAATGAAAAGGGTAAAAGAAACGGGGAGTAAGACGTATTTTGACTTGCAATAAAGAAATGAGAAAATATAGGCAGAGGTTGTTTTTCAATTCGGCTTACAGTTACTGAAAATAAGATTTTTAGTGGATATATGAAAATAAATTACCCTGAAAGAAATTCTAATAATTTATTTATTGAAACATATCTGATAATTATTTAATAATAAATTTTTTCTCTACTTTTGACGCTAATATAATATAAACTGATTATAATTAGAGACACATATCAGATTTATAACTTGGGTTCAAATTGAGTCCTTCCATTAATTCTTTAACCCTTTGATGCAGAATTTTTATTAAATATGTTTTTATACTAATTTTATCATTTTGTGTTAATTTAGGTCAAAATATCATTTTCAGCATTTTAATAATTCATGGATGTGAAATACAATATGAAATTCCAGTGTTTTTTCCTCGTTAAAGGTAAAATCTTCCAAACACGGCTCGCTTCCTAATGATAATTTTTCAAATTTGCTCTTATTTGAAGTTACTTAGATTTAAACGAAATAGTTATTCATCATTGAAATTTCTTTAATTTATAAAATTCTAGCTAACTATTTGAATATCAATGTGAAAAAAATTAAAACTATTCTTTTTTTTTTGGATTTTATATTTGAGTACAAATTTCGATAAACTAACAAATTTTTTTACTAACTGTATACTAACGATTTGACTTGCGAGCGGGTTGTCAGCGAGCTGGCCTCAAGTCAGAAAGATACCGGGTTCAAATCCTGGATAATATAGCGTCCATGAGAGAGTGGTGAACAAATCTGCCCTCCAGACATCCGAATGAGGAAAGCCAATATCAGGATGGGCATTAGAAAATACCAACGATTTTTCGAACTATAACGTTTTTTATAATCCAAAAAAAAGTACCAAAGCATATTTTTGCTTTTATTTAGTCAGAAAAAAATACAAGTGGGACAATGGTGTCCCATCTGCGACGAAGAGTTAAATTATTAAATAAAACTTCAACAAATAGTTTAAGTTGTTATTTATAATTATATAAATTAAAAAAGTTCCGATGGGATACTTTGTTCCGTTTCAAAACTATACGGAAATAATATTAGTCGGACAACAGCCGCCGGTCCCACCGGTACATAATAGGCTAAGATAACAACTGATAATAACCGCACCATATCTGGATTATAATTGCTTCTGCAAACATGGCATAAAGTGCACTGAATTTCATAGACATTCTTGTTCCTTCTTTAATCCCGGATTTTATTTTTTTTTTTAAAAAGTTTCGATGTGTACTTTGTTCCGTTTCAATTTTATATAGAAATAATATTTGTGGGACAACAGCCGCCGGTCCTGCCGGTGCATAATAGGCTAAGATAACAACTGATAATGACCACACCATATCTGGATTATAATTGCTTCTACAAACATGACATAAAGTGCACTGCATTTCTTAGACATTCTTGTTCCTTCTTTAATCCCGGATTTTATTTTATTTTTAAAAGTTTCGATGTGTACTTTGTTCCGTTTCAATTTTATATAGAAATAAAATTAGTGGGACAACAGCCGCCGGTCCCGCCGGTACATAATAGGCTAAGATAACAACTGATAATGACCACACCATATCTGGATTATAATTGCTTCTACAAACATGACATAAAGTGCACTGCATTTCATAGACNTTCCAAATTGAGTCCTTTGATTAATTCTTTAACCCTTTGATGCAGAATTTTATTAAATATATTTTCTTTGTACTCATTTTATCAGTTTGTGTTAATATAGGTCAAAATATCATTTTCAACATTTTAATGATTCATGGATATGAAATAGAATATGAAACTCCAGTATTTTTTCTGCGTTAAAGGTAAAATCTTCCAAACACGGCTCGCTTCCAAATGATAATTTTTCATTTGCCCTTATTTGAAGTTATTTAGATTTAAACGAAACAGTTATTCATCAATGAAATTTCTTTAATTTCTAAAATTCTAGCTCACTATTTGAATATCAATGAAAAAAAAATTCAAACTATTCTTCTTCTTTCTTTTTTTTTTGAATTTTATGTTTTGGTACAAATTCCGATAATCTAACAAATTTTTTTACTACTTGTATACTAACGATTTGACTTGCGTGCGGGATGTATGGTTGTCAGCGAAACAGAAAGATACCGGGTTCAAATCCTGGATAATATAGTGTCCATGAGAGAGTGGTGAACAAATCTGCCCTCCAGAAGTTCGAATGACGAAAGTCAACATCTGGGTTGCCATTAGAAAATGCCAACGATTTTTC